ATATCTATGGTATAAAAATACTCCGTTTAAAAATATCACTAATAGAAATATTTTCTATGAAAATATTTAATAATATTATTAAAAATATTTTATTGTAATCGTGATAATTAATTTTTTAAATAATATATTATTATTATTACAAGTACAAAATAAATTATTTACTATATAATCGACTGTATTTACAGTGACTTTTATGTATATACAAGAATGTTAGCGACAAAAAGTCATTCGCAGACAGTAAAAACTCATCACAAAATTATTAAATACAATACATATATAAATTACATTTTAAGGTTGTGGACGATTAAGCAATAAAATTAAAAATTAAATTAAACAAAAATTAAATAAGTACATGTTATGTAAAAGTTAAAATTTAATATTATGGACAATTTCCCATAATTATTTCAGAGATATAATTTCGTTGTATTAACTAATATTGTGATTAGTTATTATTTCCTATGTAATTATTTTTTAAACATTAATATTAATATAAAATGTAATAAATGTTAAAATATTTTCACGAGAGATATTTTATTTAAATATAATTTTAAACAGAGACATTTTGTACTGACCATATTTTAAATCGAAGATATTTTTGCGAAGATATTTTGACCTGGAACCTCAACATTTTAACTAAAAATTTGTAACTAAAAATACATTTTTGTAATATTTGGTTTATCGAATGAATGCCAGAAACAGAAATAAATACTGTGATAAGTTTGAATAAGATTCAATAATTACTAAAGAACTCAAAATTCTATAATTATTAAATTTAAAAAAACTGTACAGCTGTAGCTATATTATACATTATATCACTGGCAGACACTCTCCTTAAAAAAATCCTGATTGTGTCATTGTGCGTATACGTACCAATATATATCTGTACACCGGTAAATTTAGGCTTACAAAAGTTATACAACTATAATGTAAAACCATTGATTTTTGCCGTTGAATTATACGTATAGAAAGATACGCAAACCTACCACTAATATTTCTTGCACTTACGAGGCCGCTACCATTAGATGTCACTGCAGGGCCAATGAGAAATTTTGAGGGTCCCGGAGCTCATTGGTTCCAGGCTCCCTTTACTTGTACTTGTTTGACCAAGATATTCATACTACTTGCATATACTTTTATACAGTAAAATATTGTATAAAAGGCTGAGATGACAGGGCCCTGGGCTTTAGCCCTCCCTGCCTTACCCTCTCGCTGGCCCTGCGTCACTGTATTCAGATTTAATAAGTTTCCTACCACGTGGAATATAGCAGAAAATCTGTTGCATATTTTTCAGCATAGAGACGAAATATACCGGTTAGGTTAGTTCGTAAATAAAGAAAAGTTCAAGTATGAAATGAGACTCGACATTCGAGTTTTCTTATGAAACACAAACAATCACATGTCAAGCATACCAGTTACATATAATTGATTAATTCTAAATGGTATTCGAATAGCAAAAAAAATTTGTATTCGCTACAACTTTTGGTCATGTAAGAATTTTCATATATTAGATGTACGTTTTTCGTGACAGTACTTAAGTACCGGTACAGTTTTTCGCACCGGAACTTATTAACGTGTGTACACCCATGGACGATTCTGACCTACTATATCTAACGTAGAAACTTACTAGTTCGTCCGCTGTAATCATTTACATTAAACTTGATGGAAACAGGCTGAGGCGAAACTAAAAATTTTTACACCCGGGGAAAATGTTATAATTACGCCCTATCATAGACCAATAATCAAATGTTCTTGAGAATTTTTTTCTAATAATTAATATAAATTCATACTTATTGAGTATGAACCTAATATCAGTATCTAACAAACTTAAAAGTATTAAATTAGTTGTTAATAATTGCAAAAATTACACCCTCTAAATTTTTACGCCCGGGTATGAATCCCCGTCTTTCACCACCTAATTTCGTCCCTGGAAATAAACTTTCAACGGCAAAAAGTGAGTGTTGAAAAAAACCGGTTTTTGCAACGTGCACAAAAATGAGACAAATTCATCAGTTTGCGTTCGATAACGAAAAGTGGAATCAGGACATCGGAAGAAATACAACAAATATTATCTTATTATGTTTATAAATATTATATTATCCTAAGTAATTTATATTCAGTATTATGTTTTTACAATGTTGTATACACATTAAACATATATTGAAAACTGAACAAAATCGTTTTTTTAAAATTTTTTTTTATTTCTAATGCCTTATTATTTCATATCTAATACATATATATATATATATATATATATATATATATATATATATATATATATAATATAAATTAACTTACGGTACTATAACTATAGTAGGTATTGTATAGTAAAATGTTTTAATAATTACACATAAAAAAAAAAAAAAAAATATTATTGGTATACAAAAATCTGTACGACAGGTGACTAGAAATAATGAATAGATACAATATGTATTTTAAGGTACGTGTCGGAAAAAATTTGCGAAACAACAATGAGAACGTACACGACAACAATGATTGTTCTTGTTGATCCGCGTACTAAGTGGAAGCCGATAGCGCACATATATATTATTTTAACATATTACGATTCCTGCCGTAAAAGAAAAAAATACGTCGTACATGTAGTGCAATCATATTATATTCCTGGTTGAATCGTAAGAACTATGGGCACAGCTGCTAAAGCGGCAAAGGATACATGTTGTATGTTATAATATTCTTATAAATAGAGGTATTTGTGGTTCAGCGTTGTGTACCGATTCCTGTAATAGCTAATTAATTATTCCGTTTTGTCGGGGGGTTTATTTTTTTTTCGTGTAAAAAATATTCAAGTACAAAAAACGCAGGTACTCGTGCTTATAATAATTATTTAATGTATAGGCCGAAAATATGTTCAGATTTTGCGCGTTAAAAAAGATACGGAAAATTAAGAAGAAATTAACGAAACGTTGGCAAATCGGAATATTCATTGAGGATGGCGCATTTCGCTTATTAGTAATTTTAGTAATTTTAGATTTCTTAACGTTAATGGAGGAAGGGGGGCAACACTTACGGGATGTCGAACTATTAAAACTCGTGAATTATGCCATACACTTAACACATTTAATATATAATATTATATAATAATAATAATAATAATAATTATAATTATAATAATAATAATTATCAACGAAAATTATGTTTGCAAAATTGTTTCGTAAACGTAATGTTCGTGTATCTAATAATTTGTTTTTGTCCACAGTAGTTACGCATTTGGAGATACGTATAGTATAAAAAATTAGCTTAGAAAAACAAAATCCAATTGAAAACATCGGATGAACGGAAATTTAAATGATGTGTGTATATAGTTAAGGTATACGTGTACGGATAAACGAAAGTCGAACGATCTGATAAAAGCGTATTTTGACGTTGATGGAGTTTATGTACATAATATAGTAACGCCACGGTGTAAGAACACAGTAGTAGGTTTTGTAAGTGTATAATTGGCGCGCCCTCGGTGTCGGTTTCATGAGCAATGTACAGAGCGTACCGGCGATGCTCGTGCTCGGTAGGCGAGAACTTACTATTGTAAAGACGTCACCAGTTCGCGGAGCGCACAACAAATATTGAAATAACGCGTTCCGTGGAATGTAATTGTTACTATAAATTGTTTATTTTGATTATCATAGGCTACACAATTTAAGACTATTAACATACTTATAAACTTACATGAGTGTGTACTTAAATTTCTTACCTAAACACAACGCGACGACAGCGATGTAATAATATTAATAAAAGTAATAATATCACAGCGCGTCGTCAGTATTACAACATATGCCGTACATCGTACGACGATATTTCGCTTAAACGAACATTGATTAGTTTTGTGGCTTAAAATGTAATTTGATCATTTGAGTGCGAGACATAACACTAACACGCTACATATTCGTCTATATAAAAATGACAATTATAATATATTCATTAGTGCGAACCGGTCGTCGCAGTCGTAAATTACAGTGCAGCGACTAAAACGACGACCGGTCTAGCACCGCCTTACGGGTCAAATGCTTAGTTTATATTAAAAAAAAAAAAATAATAAATAATAATAATAATAATAGTAATTAAAAAATAAAAATAAAGGAGACACAATAATAAACTTATATTTTTAAAATTATTATCATTAAACCTAGTTATATTTTAAAATTTATTTAAATAAAACTAATCATTAACTTATTAAAATTATTATTACTTTTTTTATATATATAAAATTGGAACATCAGGTTAATAAACTAGGATAAGATTTCTATCGTCTACGATTTATAATATATATGTATACATTAATAATATATAAATATAATAACAAATTTGGGATTTGGGGAAAGGGGTTAAAGTGATGATGTTATTATTCAATAATTCTTTTACATAAAATATCTACAAACGTGCTGGGTAAAAAATGTATCGTGGTAGTGAACTAATAAAATGCAATTATTATAGAATAGTAATTATTATTATTTAATGTTTCATTTAATACAGTAAAACATTTTTATCGAGAGATATGTACGAAAAGATCCCAATATAATGTATCATAACCGACTGGACGAATAAAAAGTTTGAATTTAATTTGTTAACTTAATACTTCGTCATTATTTTATGATTAAATTTTAATATGTTACAGATGTTGATTCACTCGATTTAAAAATAATTCAATGTTAAATTTATACAATATTATTACACAACTATATATATATATATATATATATAGTTTTAATTAATATTGTGTAATCTAAACAGAAATTGAGCATACAATAAAAAAGTAGCGTTTGCCCTGAATATAGTTATGGCAATAATTTGACGTACACAATAATTTTTTCGTTATATTTTCATTAAAATAAAAAAAAGTAAAAACGCTTGGGTAAAAATCGGATAAAAATAATTGGCTTCTGTAAATATTAAAAAAAAATTATTGTTTGTACGAAAAAAAAACGATGACGATAATAATAGTAGTCATAATAATAATAATAATAAAAATGTATGTAAAAAATACTTCGAAAAAAGAAAACTCAAGTATTTATTCTGTGATGTGGTCATGTTTTGGGGAATAGTAAATAAACTGACTAATTAAAGGAAAACACAGTAAAAGCATAAATGGCAGCAAAATGGGATTTGAGATCGTCTAATATAGTGGGTTAATAAAATAATCATGACTAGATTTTCAGTTCAATTGTAGCCTGTGTACGTGTAACATATGTGTGTGAATATGTTATACATAGCCGACTGTTAGTATTTTATTCTTTACTGCTCTTCGTCCAGTTCATGTTCACCATCTCGGCTATACATGTCTGCCAGTTTGTCGAAATGCGAGCCCCAGGACACCAAATACTCGTAGTCTTGGTGATCGTCCTCGGTACCTGCATAGGAAAATTACGTTAATCGACACCGACGGCAAATACATTTTTGTAGAAACTTTCAGTATTAATTTTTTTTACAGACGAAACGGATTATTAGGTACATTAGACATTATACGATAGGCAGTTGGAGCTGTAACGGTAATCGGGTGTTGCCGGAACATATGTCTTAACGCACACAAAAGGTAAACGTCACCATCAGTGTTACGTCGAACTTGCTTAATTTACATTCTGTATAGGATGCAAATGCGTTTAAAATATAGAGGTGTTTGATGTACACAATAATAGTTGACACGCTCATGTAATCGCTGCACACGATTTCCAACGGTGTACACCACCGTTGGAAAACGTTAGGAACACGCAGTCGTATAAGACTTATTGAAAATGTTTCCCGACCTATAGGTTCTATTTGAATATATTCAAATAGAACGCCTAACCGAACGTCTGATTGAATTGTTTAAGATCGTCGTGGCCGGCGCAGGTTCAAAATTAAAATGGTGATGCATTGCATCGCGTCGAATGGCGTTTATTGCATACCTGTATTTAGCGATGACAACGATCCTGCGGTGCTGCCACCCCCTTCGTATGCGTAATTCCGTAGGTCGTCAAATGGCGGAGCGTTTGGATCACCGTCCGCACGTTTCTTATGGTCTTCGATGAACATACCAACGTTGGGTTCCACCCCCACCGGCATTGTGGGATCTAAAAAAAAAAACGGTAACAGTAATATAGTGGCGATATTTAAACTGGCGTGGTGGCCGAAAAAGAAAAAGACGTACATTTGTACTTCTGTGGATGAATGTTGTTTATCGATCCTCCGATAGGTATCTGCAGGGGCGTTATGTCGAACGCAGTCATGTCGTCCTCACCGCCGCCCTCGTCGTCGTAGTTGATTATGTTTTCCCTGACATCGTCGTCCGGTCCGGGGTACTTGATGTGCGCTTCGCGTCGACGGTTGTACACGACGAACATTAATACCAGTACTGAAAAATACGGTTCAAACGTTCAGTTCGGTTTTCGCGAATGAAGGGGTAGGGGGTCGAACCGTACAATAGGGTACGACAACTCGACACCACGGTATACTCACTGAGAATGATAAGCAGACAGACCAATATAGCCGCGAGTGCACCCATGCCGAGTTTTAGTTTTTGACCTTCTTGGACCAGTTCACAGTTTTCGCCCCAAAACCCGTCCGGGCATATACAACGATATCGAATCCTGGGATCTTGATTTAAACAGACGCCTCCGTTCCGGCAGGGACTATCCAGACATTCGTTTTTATCCACGCACCCTTTGCGGTCCGGTGTCATAATACGACCTTCGCCGCAACTAGAAAATTACAAATTTTAAACGTATTGATTCCTTTCATAATACTGTCTGATGGCCGGCGCCATTGATCTTAATCCACCGGTCGTTCGCGAACTTACGTGCAGTCGTAATAATTCCATAGGTCGACGCATTCAAACGGTTCCTGACAAATGACATTGGCACAAGGTTTGTTGGACGGACAGTTCCTCTCTACGTTCCTGGCCATTGTCGCTTGGCCCCATTGCGTGCCGTTGGTCGCTGGTGGCAGCGGTAAATACCTTCCTTCCAAACGTATGTCATCCAAACAACCTATAATAGTATTGTGAATCGTTAATATGGTGTATTTCAACCGGAGACTTCAAATATTAAAAATATGAACTTAAATATTTATATTTATCTGTTTATAAAATTAAAAATTAATTAACTAAATCGCAACGATTTTTTATAATATTTATAAAACCCATCACAACATGATACAATTCGTGTTTTACGTTTATTTTACAATCAATAAATATTGATTATAAGAGTTATCTGGTAAATAAATATTGATAGGGACTCAGATAACCGTTATATAATAGACAATATATTGATATAAATATTATCCCGTCACTCATTTACTATAAACCCAATTAGAAAGCTTTAGAAACACTAATACTTGCACGAGTATATATTAACACGTAGATATTTTAATTTTAAACAATAAAATTTATAATCTATTAGTTACGTTTTAAAAAAATGAAGGTTCGACGAATAATAAAGATTTATCTAATCATAGTGCAATGCCAATGCGATTGTAACATATATCAGCGATTTCTGTACACCAAAATCGCATAACATAACAGTTATTTTTATCACCTTTTTGGAAGTCGCCGTAGACTTCAAATGTTCGAACGCCAGTATACTCAGCCTTTCCCCCAGCGTATACTCCTTCTTGTTTGTCAACCATTAACCATTGATGTCCTTCAAACCGGTAAGTTTCATTGTAATGCTTTCCTTCACCTCCGTCAAGTTCCAAAATAGCGGATGAACCGTATCTCGAAACTTTCGCTGTATGCCATTTCCCATCATCAACCGTTACAGCACTTAGCCATACGTCCTTCTCTTCGGTCCTTAAACTATTCAAGTTGTATCGGAAATGAAGTTTACTGTCTTTAATCTGCCAATAAACACGTAATAATATCGTAAGTAATTTGAATCGTCTAGTAATAATGCGACAAAGTGAATATAAACATTTTTTTACCTCGAGAATGGCATATTCTCTATTGTGTTGGTCACTGACTCTAAACAGTTCACCGTGTTCTTCACGTGTTCTAAATCGCAATTGGATTTTTGTCATAAACTTGTCTGCGTCAAACGACAGGGCGTATTTTACATAACTCTGAGGGCGGAATGTGGTAGGTATGGTTGGTGTTAGGCAATCAGCGCCAGACCAACCTGGGCTACATTCGCAACGCGGTTCTACCATACTACCGACGCACGATCCGTGTTCCGTGCACCGGTGACCAACTAAATTCATACACAGATCTTCCGTTTGTGGACACCCGGCAATGCTATTTCTAGTGAGACCCGGGTTCGCCAAATCGTACAGCTTGAATCAAACAAAATATTTAGAGAGATACAAAATTTAATATTACAAAACGTTTACCTTGCTGTTATGGTACACGTTTTTGATGCAACCGTCAAATCCTTTTCCGTACGGAGCATATTGCCAATGATAGTGAGTTGGGTCGAAATCTTGTACATATCTTCCACCGATTTGCAACGGAGAATTAATGTTTAGATACTCGTTGAATGCCGGAATTGTTCCTTGAGCTTGACACGACGAATCGTCAAATTCTGGATGGGAACCGTCTTCGAGTTCGGAAATATCGGCTGAACGACAGTTGTCTACCACCAGACGGATGTTCTAAAACAAAATTAAAATTCGTTAGAAAATGGATAGAAAATTTGAAATTCAATGCACGACAGCCTGTGATCTCTTGTACACACCTCTGTATCCCAAAATACATCTATTTTATGCCATTCGCCATCGTCCAGGCTCTTTTTCGTTTTTACTTTAAGTTCCAAAGTACCAGAACCAAAGTCAATGAGTAACCGTGGTTGACCCCTGTCCAATTCGATCGATATAAAATCTGCAAATAAACATAGGTAGTTAAACGTTAATAAATAATATTGATTTTAAAAAAGCTATTACTGCTATTACACACCTGATATTAGTATTTCTTCGGATTCTGGTGGTACAATAGGTCCGTTATACAGCATGAGACCATCCGCTTTTCTAGTGACGAACTCTAAACTTAAATGAGAATTGTCACACATTTCTAAAGGTGGATACCAGGCCCAACCACTTCCTTTGAAGCTCCTAGCTGTTTGCTGACATCTCGGTCCATTGAAACCAGCCGGACATTCACATGTGGGACCGTTCCTAGTGTCTGTGCACCGGCCGCCATTCAAACAAGGACTTGATCGGCATGTTTCGATTTTCGTAAAATTACGAGCTCCACAAGTACATTCAGCGTAAGTATCGATCCTGACTCCGACTAGAGCGGTTTTATTGGCGTTCACCATGTACGGAAGTGTGTTTATCTCGAATACGTTCGTACAACTTCCTTCGCAGTTCACATATTCATACAAGCACTCATCAATGCCAACCATGGTAATATTTATTCCGACGTCTTTTTCAATCTAAAGAAACAAAAAAATTAATTTAATAATTCGAAATGTTTATTAAAATTATGTATATTATGTACCTCTTCGCGGTGCATTAATACTAGGCCATTGAGTTTTACAGTCTTGTAATAAGGTGATCCATGAGCAGAGAATCTGATATCAGTCAATGGAGGGTACTTTTGTTTCAATTGAACACTGAAAATATCAATATTTTCCCTAGGTGTATTCAGAATGTCTACCAATTTATCTTTGAATTTATCAGCTTTACTCCTGACCAAGCTTTGTGTCTAAAATAAACAGAAACAGAAGGAAACGTGTTAATACCTTGATCAAAGTGGTGTACCATATAATTATTTACTCTATAGTTCCAAATTCTAATGAAATCCTCGTCAGTTATGCCAGCAATACGTATGGATCCTGCGTTTAGAACTGCTTCGGGTGATATTTCTTTAACCGTAACGGTGACATTAGCAGAGATGTCTGTTTGTGTGTGCTTGCGGTCGTACACCTTGAAACGCAAATGGTATTGGCCTTCTCTCGTTCCGTGACGCATCATAATCATTCCAGTGGTGTCGTTTAACTTAAATCGAGGGTGTTCAGTTCCGTCTGAGTAGAACTTCTTGTCTGGTAAATCCCAGTCGTCTAAATCGTATACGTATACACGGCCAATTTCTGTATCTGGAGCTTGGCCCTATATAAAAGTAACACGTGAATTACAACGGTAGTAAACACATATCGTACAGAAAATTATATGCATATAAATCTATATACATAATTTAATTTTAAAATAATTTAAAATATAATTTAAATGTTAGTGTAAATAATCTAATATTCTAAAATAAAGTACAAATTATAGATGTTGTAGGTGTATAAAAGAGCTTGTACTAACAAGTGACATTTATACAAAAAAATATATACATATATATATGAATAGTATACCATATTTAATGATTAAAATATATTTATTATAATTTTATACAGATAAACGAAACGTGTTTAGATTGTTTATTTGTTTTAATTTAGTTTTTATATTTTCTCTTATATATTATATATATATTATTAAAATTTAATATTGTGTAAGACTTAATTTTTAGTTGTCTATTTTATATTTTAATATTTGATTATCTTTTTCCTTATTAGTATAAGTATAAATCTTATAATAATTTAATATATTTTTTACGGTTCTTAAATAATAATGAAGTAATATTTAGCTATTATTTACCATATAATTATAAGCGAATATTTCTTTCGATCCCGGTTGCATTTTGTTATCGTTTACATCTCGAATAATCACAGTTAATGTACTAGTGCCCGTCATTGCTGGGTTGCCAGAGTCTTTGATTACAATTGGTATAAGATATTCTTTTTGTTGTTCTCGATCGAACGACCTGAGCGATGAAATGACAGCCATCCCATCACCATTGGCACCCTCTGGAAAACAAATTATAAAATTAACTGTCATACGGGCAGAAATCATAATTATAATATAAACGGAAAAACAATGCAATTTACTTTGATCATGTTCTACTTTGAACGAGGCTCTGATCACATCGTCCGCATTTGGATCCATTCTAAATGTAAACGGTGGACCATTACTTTTGGAGCGATCATCGTCATCGGTGGCAAGGACTTCAACGACTTTTCTTGCAGGTACATGCTCGGGTAAAACTGGACGATAATCTCGAAGAAGTTTTGGAGCATTGTCGTTAATATCCTGAACAATAACTGTGAGAGTCGCCGTTGCCGTTTTGGGCGGGACACCATCATCGATGGCCAAAATTTTCACCTGACATTTGGATAAATGAGTAACATACACAATATAAATATATGTTGGCAGTCATAAAAATGTCATTATGTAAATATTATATACTATATATAAATATTATATTTTATGTAATATTATACCTATATAATATATAAAATACTTATTTAATGTATTATTTACAGTATACAATATTTTACAAAATCAAAATAATATGTTAGGTTATTAAGTTTAAACGTACCTGATGTCTAGGAGTTTCTTCGCGATCCAATTGCCGTTGAATAGAAACGGTTCCTTCTTGGCTAATACGGAATTGACGACGTCGATCAGATAAGCGATCGATAGCATATGACACTTTGCTTTTTCCTCCTTGGTCTGGATCAGTAGCCTTAAACGTTTCTAAGCTTTTGCCGACTTCGACATTCTCATAGACAGATACTTCGATGTTCGGCCGTTCAAACTGTGGTTTATTGTCATTTATATCGCGTAATTTGACTACAACCCAAGAATATGCGACGTGATATTTATCGTGATCGTTGTCCTCACCCTAAAATATTCACAATACGGGTATTTCATCAGGAAAAATATTAATTTTTTTACGTCGATAATTTATAAACAATAAAATGTTACCTTATCGTTAACTTGGATTCTAAAACGGAATCCATTACTTTGTAATTGATCTTCATAATCTAACGGTTGAACAATCTTAAGGGATCCAGTGCCATCATTATTTCTCACCATTGTGAATTTATCTGCGCCATAACCGCTATTTTCGATAACCTAACATTTTGAAACGTATAATAAACAATATTGTTTAGTACTAGTACATCAATTTTTAATTATATGTAGACAGTCTTACTTTATACTGGAACTTATTTGTCTCATCCTCGTCATGAACCGTTACTGTTAAAATAGGCGTTTCTGGGAAATTAAAACCATCAGTTTCATCGACCTCAGTAAGCCATTCTTCTTTTGTGAATTGCGGAGGCATATCGTTGATATCTTTCACTCGGATTGACGCAGTACCCGTACCTGCATAAAAAGGATTTGATATTGTTTTTAATTTCCAATTAAATCTAAGTAGAAAATATATATATATATATGTATATATGTATTAACATACCTTTTAAGCCTCCGCCATCCATAGCAACTACTTGAATAGAATAATCCGGTGTACGTTCTCGGTCCAAACAACACACAGCGGTTTTAATAACACCGGTATCAGATTCAATTTCAAATATGGGAGTACCAGTTTCTTCTTCGATCACATTTTTTTCAATCGAATAAATCAATTTAGCGTTAGTACCTTCAGCTGGATCGTCATAGTCTACAGCTGTCATTGTCATCACTACCATTCCTGCACACATAATTAATTAATATTACATTGATACATGTATTTATAAAATAACTGATAAGTGAATCGGAAAAGTGATTGGATACATACCGGCTGTACCGTTTTCAGTTACATTTCCCCAGTACACGCCTTGTGGAAACACTGGTGCATTGTCATTGATGTCTTTTAAATTCACTTGGACATCAGCATAACCAACTAAACCTTCACCTCCTTCGTCTTGAGCGAACACAGTGAATCTCCATTGAGGTCTACCATTAGGTTGATCTCTATCCAAAGGCTGTAAAAGTAACGATCAAGATAATAGAAAATTTAACAAACTATATGGTTTGAATAAGTGTTTTTATTATTATTATTATTTTTTTTTTTTTTGTTTACCTTGAGTACAAATATTTCTCCAGATGTACGGTTTATATCGAATTTACTGTTCGCTGGGTTATCGGGATCAATCCCTTGTCCAGTTAGGAAATAAACTATGTTTTGCGGACGATCTTTGTCACCATCAGTAGCCGTTACCTAATAGTTTAATGAAATATAAAAATCAATTTTCAATAAAGCTTAATATGACTACGTTATATAAACGAATAACTAATGCATAAGGATGGTAGCAAAACTCTACAACTATAAGTGTAAATGAGTGCTGGAAAGCTGGCCGATAAGACGACACCTTACCTGAGATCCATTTGGTTAGTATTATATCTACGAATAGTGTTAATAACCTGACAATATTACACGACACTTTTCGAGTATCTGTATGGGATCTAATTACGTACTTGTAATAAATGATGTGGATAGGCTCCAACCAGTTCTTCTTCCATTTCAGTGGCGTACAATGGCGAATTGAACACGGGTGGCATGTCGTTTTTATCGTTTATATGAATAACGACGGTCGTTTTGCTATCTTGGAAGTTGTCGGAAGCGGCCAATATCAATTCGTACTACATTACAACCATGCAAACATACACTTATTTGTGTTTTTATTTATGACTACATAGGGCGCATAAATTGTGTAAAATAAAAAAAAAAAAAGATGATCGAGGGGGTAACGAAATTAATGTTATGGCATTATTGTTATTATATTTTTTTTTATAATTATTTGTATTCTATTAATCATTGTTCGTAAACATTATAATGCTATAGTACACGTGCTTTTTAAAATATAACCATTTTGTACGAATAAACAAAATAACAGAAACATGCTTTATTATATAAAACTAATGACGTTGAAAACTATGGACCTAGAATGGCATTTGTGTGCAAATATACATATTATTTCGATTGCAATCCGGGCATTCTGGCGTTGTATTCGACTGAGTAACTCGGTGTAGTATTTTGGTGTCTATAGGTGAATCATGCTACATGCAGCGGGAGTTTGACTTAAGAACTAGGCAAACGCGCCGGACCTGTAAGACACGTTTGGGCAAGTTGCGGTCATCCTCTTCCGTGATCTGTGTTCTGTACGTGGGCCGTTCAAACACCGGTGGATTATCATTAACATCTTTCACGTGGATCACAACAATAGTGTGATTTTCTTTCAAGTTGTCCGATGCGGATAGATGTAATTCGTACTGTACACACGGTGTCATTTACGGATATTAAATATGATTATTTGTTTGTTTTTAATGAAATAAAATGAATTAATGATAAAAAATATAAAAGAAAATAAAATATATAAACAAAAATCATATTTTCTAGATTATATATCTATATATATAAAAAAAATTAAAAAACCAATCATAACGAAAATAAAATAACCGAATTCATAAGGATGTATAATAATAACATAAAAATGATTTGAACTATCATTATTGAAATATAATTTATTATAAAACAATTAGCATGTTTCGTGAGAAAAAATTCATAAGCAGTTTTCAAAAAATACTAGCGACACAATGAAATTGAAAATCTTGCACATAAACACATTATAGACTCGTCACAAGAACCGAAAATAGCTTAAAGGATAAAATGGACAAGTGGGGAATGCTAAAAAGTATACAAAGTAAGATAAGTCAAGAAAAATTAATTTGTCTTATTTTTGTATAGGTATTTTAACTGTAAATATTGACCTATCAGAAATGAAATGGTATAAGCTAGTAAATACTAAGTTTATCGTGTTCAATAAAATTGTACCTATTTTGCAGATAATTATTGTTTTTTATGATGCCGTATATGTAATGATGTGTAATATATGTTATTTAAGTAGTAGAGTATTTTTTTCTTCTTCATTTTTGAATTCATTACATTTTTCTCATATACATAATTTTGTAATAAATAATAATAATAATAATGATAAAAATAAAATCATGAAACAATTTGATGTATCATGCGCAATATGTATTTAAAATTAGTATATTGATTTGTGTGTGATGGATGGTGTAAATAATAATGTATTTCGTCACTTACCCTTTTTCTGGTCTCGTAATCCAACGGTCCGGCTACATAAATAGCACCAGTCATGTTTTTGACGGCAAACGCTCCACCCAGATTGCCTCCGGTTATCTCGTAACGTATTCTGGACGCTATGAAATGCGAAAAACAAACGAAAATCAGCCATATACATAATTTCATGTACCTCAGACGCAATGGGGTAGCGCGGGTTATGGCAAACCGTGCTGCGGTAGGGTGTGAAATTGTACAAAAGTCGTATTTTTATTTTACCATCATAAACGAAAATTTTCCATTATAATTTTTGAAATACGTAGATTTTGTTTAATTTTACATTTAAAGTTGAAATTATAAAAATAACGAAAGGGAGTTTGTATAGGATATTTCATATAAAGAAATGATCGATGAATTCACCAGTCGTAAAGCGAGAATAGCAAATTTTCAAAGTTTAAAATGTACACCGTAATGATAACTTATAAACATAAATTGTAATCTTAAAAAAAAAAATTAGTAAAATTAATGGTTAAAAAAAATATGGTCACATAAAATTTGTAACTGGTATTGTGTTCCAAGTTTGTCAGGGGCACTAGTGAGTCTTTCTATGCCATTGCTCGAACGTTTCAAGACGGTGTCATGTGATGGGCTCGCAGAGTTTGGGAACGGTTCAAAAAGCAATACCGTCTCGAAATCTTTTATTATGTTTACAAACGACGTTATACGAACATTCGTCATGATCCTTTGCCGTCACGGTGAGCACGGTGTGCTGTATATCCTCGTTCTCGTCGACCTCGGCTTCGTACAGCGCTTTGTCGAAGTACGGCGGGTTGTCGTTCTTGTCCGCGATACCGATACGTATGAACTTGGACACTGCAAATACACGTGCGCGGCGTTATTATGGTGCACTACGGGCGGGCGTTACTACGTGCTTACCGGAGTTCGGGGCGTCACCGTTGTTGGGTCTGGCGGACGGAGCTCCGTCCCTGGCCTCCACCTCCAGGGCATACGCGCCTTGCTTTTCTCGGTCGAAAACGATTTTTGTGAAGACCTCACCGGTCTCCGTGTTAATCTCGAAATAGTCTTTTCCCTCATTACGCGGAGAATCCACCACGTAGTAGTACACCTGCGGACATGTGAGCGCGGGCGATTAGTAAGCGGTTACAGAGTGTGTCGCTCGAAAGATGTTACATCCCCGTAGGGCAAACGTTCCACCCGTTCTGCTGTCGACACGCGGAGCATCAGGCGTGAGCCTGCGTATAGCCCCGATGCGTGACTGGGTGCGGCTACGGACGGCCGATTTCAAACTCCTATCGTTTTCTAGCGAAGACCGGCGTCACCACGAGTTCGACCTCAAAGGCGCGCGCCGTCAGTCTCGAGTCCGGAGGTGCGCCCCCCATTCTCGGGCACTGTCCAGTTAAGGAGAGTGGGATCCCAGAGATTCCGTGGCAAGAGTTTTAACAGTTGGTTTTTAGACTACCGGCACCCACTCGGCCGCGTGGCGTTTGAATGGCAGTTACAGTGCGCGGTACACCGTTCTCGGCGGGAATCGGTGCGGAATGGCTACAAACAGCGTTCGTCTGGAGAGCGGCTAAAATCTCGCCGACCAACGGAATTAGGTCGATAAGATGAAAAAACGCGACCGGGAATACTTATGCGAGACACGTTGCACGGATACAATCTATGTGTCTACTCTGACTCGTCAAACATCGCAGTTGACACCGGTTGTGACACGATACCATATAGGTTAGTCGAAATACCTCGAGACATGGTAATGTATGCGAGCGCAACAACTCACCCGGTTGTTCGGAAACGTGCCGTCCTTGTCGATCGCGTTGACTTGCGTGACTTTGGTGCCGATCGGTTCACCTTCAAGAACGGTCTCCTGTTCCCGTTCGGTGAACAACGGTATTTCGTCGTTCACGTCTTCCAGCATGATGTACACGGTCGCTTCGGACGCGAGTTGTTGAGCTCCGTTGTTCTAAAACACAAGGCGAGGGTGGGATTGGAAAACTGAATATTAGACATTGCACGTGTTACAAGCGAGCATTGGACGGGTTGAAAACGCGTTCGCGAAAGCAACGCGTGATCGTCCATTTTTTTACGCTCATAACAACTGTATTTACCTCCACTCGGATGGTTAAATTGTATTCTTTAATCGTCTCGTAGTCCAACGGGTGGTTCACCTTAATATCTGCCCAAGTGAAACCGTTGTCAGGTCTCTGTTGCAGGTAGAACGTGTGGAACTTGTTCGTCTGGGCCGTGGATCCCGGCATCAGTCGGTAGAACACTGTTGGATTTCCTTCGATGCCCGAACTGCAAATATCAAAAATCAAAGTCACGTCGAGTCGAAAAAGTTGTTATGTTTTGAGTGATCAGGCACGCGTTATTAAGAAACCCCTATGCGTAGATGGTGACGATTATAAACTGGACAAACAACAAACAAGTAATTATTGGACAACGGACGATCGGTCATCAATTCTCGATCTCGAAACGTATTTGATGTGTACTCAGTTCACTGCGAGAGTCATGAACGTAGTAACAGTTACCCGTACTCTTTTGAATACCGTAAAACGCATATATGATATTCATACGAATTTCGGAGCACGGTGTAGGTAATGAACCGAGAAAAACGTAGGTTAATTATTGTGCTATAAAATTATCATAGTCATAATACTGATGATAGTTTGAACAGTGAAAAATATGATTCGAAACGTTTTGTCAGTCAAAAAAACTTGACTTTGCGAATCGTTAAAATTTTTTTCTTTTCGAATGCTGACAAAATTAAAAAATCGTCGTAAACCATATGTCCAATAGACTGATAAAAAATAGTCCATATTTTTTTTTTTTTTTTAACAAAATATTATGCCATGCAAACTTATAGGAAAAGTTGTATGCATACAAAAATAGTTGGTTAAAATAATGTTCCAAAAAAATCGAATGGGACAAGTAGCAAAATACAAAAAAAAATTATTTTCTGTATGTAAAAAGCAACGTACGTAAATAAAAAGACAAAACAAAATACAATTATTAATTTAGCAACATGAAAAAAATAAAACCAGACATGCCAAAAAACAATGTGACTGGTCAAAATCGATTACACAAAATACAAAAATACAAATGATAATATGCATCTAAAAAAACAAAAGAAAAAAATATAATAATTATAAAACATTCACTGTTTCCGTTCTATTTAAATTGTATAAGGAAAATTATTTTACTATTTTGATTGGCCTAAAAATATTAATATTAACGTCACTTTTTAGTAAACAATTAATGATAAAATTTGAAACATTTCAAACAGCATAGAAAAATGTTTGAAAAGTATGTTCCGTTAATGTTATTTTGTGATTTTCCAACACCTCCCAAATATCCCAACTCATTTGTGCATATTAATATATCCTATAATGTAGACAATACATCGTTTGCCTTAAACCTTGGTGTTAAATATGTGCGGTCAGTTTTACCATTAGTTCAAATTCGTAAAAGATTTATATTAAATAACAAGTAAGTAAATACGGTCTTGTTAGCATAAAAATTAATTTTTAAAAGATAAATGAACCATTTGAAATCGAGCGAAAAATATGGACGTTTACCGAATTATGTATTCATTGGTTTACATGAAAATATATTTTGTGAATTTAAAACACTGAAAATAATGATCGATTTGAAATATAAACTCGTGAAAGTAGAAAATAGATAATGGAAAAAATATGAATCATTTAATACTAAGTATTAATATAGTTTGGTTGTTTGTAATCGTTTAGAAAATAATTCAATAAAATATGCACATAGGGAAATCAATGAATGACCAAACAATTATACACTAATTTAATCTAAACTAAAATCGAAAAACAAATTCCGTTTTAACAAAATCCGCACATACACAACGTGCATTGTTTAGTGCGGACGTGCAAAATATTTTGACCTGCATGCATTATTTTGACATTTAGAGATAATACTCAAAATTAATTGTATTTGTAACCAGTAAAAAGTTTACTAAAAATCTCAAAGTGGCGAAACAATTTACAACCTATAATAAAATGCAGGCACAGGTATATACATTGAGATGTACAGATTTGGTAACCGGTGAAAAAATGAAAATATTACCAACAAAAAGTTTATATTGCATTCATATTTGTTATTATTGAAATTAAAGTTCTCAACGCCATGTTGTTGATTATTTTATGTTTTATATAATAGATATGTAGTTTATATGTGGTGTGGCGTACTAATATGTCCCGCAAAAAAAAATTCAAAAAATAAATACGGTTAGGACGTATCATCAAAATATGGTTGATACGATATCTGTACATCTCGTAAAACTATATGGGTTAAACGTAGAAAAATTGTGTTTATATCTTGCGAAAAAATAACCATAACCCATTCGCACGATTAAAGACAAATTGTATATTATAATTATATAATACTTATCCTTAATCGTGAACATCGGTCATTATTTTTTCTTAGTGCCGTGCAACAATTTTTTTTTTTTTTTATAAATATCTGAGTTATAACAACATGTATTATAAAAATAATTGAGTTTTGTTTTGTGGAAATTGTTTGGACCGACCTGGCTTTAATAGATACCACTTTTGCCCCGACCGGCTTGTTTTCTTTTATGTAGATGGGCCCGTACACAACGTGGTCCCAGACCGGTGGGTTGTTGGCTCGGTCCACCACGTCGATCTGGACCTCGACACTCCGAGACAAAGGAGGGTATCCCTTATCTTGGGCAGTAGCTTCCAGCTTGTATGTCTCGCGCTACATATACCGCAATGTAATCACACACATGGGGGGAACACAAAATACAATGATAATACCTGGTTTTCGTTGTTTTTTTTTCGTTTGTTTAAATATTAATAAATGTTATTTAATCGTTGACTAACTTAAGAAAAGAAAAATACAACACGAACGCTACAACGCGTATGCACTCGATTACCCACGATCATCGTCGTACGGCTGACCGAACTATTCTCTGCGAGTCGACGTATTATTATTATTATTCAAAACTTTGGGGCTGTCATAGCGTATCATAATGGTCTCGTTGAAAACTACTGACGTACGACGTACGAGAACGGAAAAAAGAGTAAACGATATCCGTCATTTGGTCTTATTGCGATGCATTATTAGTATTTGAACGTGATCGTTACAATCGCTTATTCCAAACGGAAAACACGAAAAATTAATAAGACGCAACTGCAAGATTAGTTCGGCCAAAAGTCTACATGTAAACTTTGTAAGCTTTCACGCGGTATCGTCGTGTGTACAACATAATATAGGTAACGCACAGTACAGTAGCTTATGTCTATCGTCATTTATAGTCACACCATTTATGATACATAATAATAATAATAATAATAATAATAATATTAATAAAAATAACAGCTGCAACGGATCAAAATATAATACTTTTGTTTCTCATTGTATTCGCTATTATATAGGTAAAAATATTGGACTTATAGGTTTTTGTCAAAACGATAGTAGTGTATTATTATTATCGCACAGACAACAGAGTTGCTGCGTTGCGTATATGACTGCGGCAGAACTCCGCGCGCGCGCGTCCGTTCACGGTATTTTATGCGGGGGTGGCCAGGAATACAAACCTGGCTTTGACTGAGATCACAATGGTACCAATTGTGACATTCTCTTTGATGTGTGTAGGACCGTACACGCTCCGTTCCCACAGAGGAGGTTTATTGTTCCGATCAACGACGTCTAATTCAATATCGACCTCAGCGGACGACGGTGGAGCACCATTGTCTGAAGCTTTCACGCGCAGACGATACTTTTCTTGCTACATACACAATATCAAGGCCCCCGAGGTTAAAATTATAACGTATGAAAAAAATAAAAATAAAAATAAAAATAAACACAAATAAATGATAATGATAAAAGTAAGAATAAATATGATCAACGTACAAAACTGCCACTAAAGAAAAATCCAAGCGAAAACAATAAGACAACGCGATTTATATTGTTTAATTTTAGTTGTTGTCGATACGGGGTTTAATAGCTGTACAAATAAAAGTATATGTTTGCGAGTAAATAGGTATTAACGTGTGTTTAAGCTGAAACTTTCGATTTGTCATGTTTAAAATATAGTATCACATGATATTATTATAACTAAAAAGAGCGTTGCAAAATAACCGTTTCCCATTATATTAAATTATTTGATGAATATTTTTGACACAATTTATTATTTTTTCCGGCCGTCCTTAAAATATTCTAATAAATAACGTTTATGGTTATAAATAAGGACGGTGTAAAAAATGTGCTAGAAATGTGGGTTTACAATTGACGTATTTTAGTACATATTATTTAACATTCAATCAATTTGCTAAAAAATCAACAGAAATCGTACGCAATAGTAGTATAGGTACCAACAGTTTATAATTATTTATTTATTTTTTATCAGTTTTAAAGGCCGTTCAGGCCCATGCTGTAATATAAACTTCTCTCTATCTTTCTCTATCTATTACTACCTCTTTGTAGTTACCAACTCTTAGCGTTTTTAGATTCTTTGAAACTTAATCAAACTATCGTTGATTAGGTCTCCTAAGGGCCTCTTTCCTCGTGGTTTTCATCTTAGGACCTCCTTTGCAATTATGTTAGACGTCAATATGTCACATAACCAGATTAGTCTTTTGGCTCTAATTACCCCAATTATATTTGGTCCTCCAAAGGTATTGCATACTTCTTTATTTTATCTTATTTTATACCTCTGTGTTACATTAATTCCAGTCCACATATTTTCCCAAGAAATTTTTTTTTCTACTATAGCCAATTTTCCTCATCCTTAAACGTTGTTGACCATGTTATATGTATAAATATATATAATTATATGTTATATGTTATATTTCCATGCATACATTGTGATAGGTCTTGTTATTACTTTGTATAGTCTCATTTTCGATTTCTTTGATGGTAGCATAGAGCGCAGGCAGTGGCGCAGAAATCAGAGTTTAAATCTGGTCATAACCAGACCATATTTTGAGGGTGATGGGTGATGTCTTGGTGGATTTATATACGAATAATAAATAAATCAATTAAATTAACTATAAATCATAATACTGCCCAATTTTAAAACTACTATTCAAGAGAAACAGTCTCTCTGCTGCGTGAGAAGTTCCCGGACAGACTAATCTCGTTGCGTGATCAAAGCTATCTACCTCGATCTTGCGACTTGACATCGTGTGATTTTTTTTTATAGAGAAGTCACGAGTTTACCAGAAAAAAGTTCGAAATGTCTTGGAACTTAAACAAGAAATTTGTCGTTTCCTCAACGAAACGTTATCCATTGATGGTAAATTTGAAGGAAAGAATAATCGCCTGTAGAGCTATTAGGGAGAGTCATATGCCCGATATTGTTTTTCACTATTAAACTTTAACTTCTCCTGAAGAGAATGATATATTTGTTATTTTTTTTTTAAATAAATAAATTTAATTTATAGCAGATTTAAATCCTGCGTTATTTTTAAGACACCCTATACACAGTAGTAGATGTAGACTGTAATCTGTTACCTGCTAGAACAGCGGTTCTCAACCTTTTTGAGTTCGCGACCCCCTATAATGTTACTAATGTGTCTAACGACCCTTTTATAATGTAAGCATTGAAAAATTTTACAAACTGTTATTATTGTATTTATTTGTGTATATATTTTACAAAAAAAAAAAAGTATATTATAAAAGCCGATTGGCGTTAATGGGAAAAAAAAATAAAAATTATGTAAATTTTAATATTTTGTTAATTTAATGACTCTTTTGCTGTTGTTGATTTGAAATAATTTTTTTTTCATATGATGTAACCCTAAAAAAGTTGTTGGCGATCCCCCAGTTGAGAATCACAGTGCTAGAACACGTTTATATAATTTTTTAACTATGACGTGTTTAAAAAAAATTGAATTATTTAATTATAAATTCTTTCGTATTTATAGTTCAAACATGATTTCCATAAAATCATAAAACAATAAAGTTTTATTACACGTTAACCACCTATTACTTCGTTATCTAACATATACTCGAACATTATTTTAAGTGATAGTCAAACCAGAAAGGGGTAAAGTAAACAGTTAGTGCCTAAATTTAATATACGTAATATACGTTTGTAGTAAACTTAAAATGTTAGAAATTAACAAGTCGAATTCAAATCCAAGCTACAATTATATATAACTATAATAGTAATTTTAAGTTCGATTTAAACAATTTTCAACATTAAAAGTTACACACTCTATTCATATTTGGTTTGATATTTAAAATATTTGCAAATTATTTATGTAAATACGGTCGCCTAAGATTCGAAAGAAAATAATTAATAAAAAAATATATTTTTTATGGTAGACAATCGTCGTTTTCTTATTGTTTTCGTACTGTGAATTGGTCATTGTTATGTAAACATGTACATGCTAAATTAAAATAATATATATTTATATATTATATAATTGTATCCTAGAAAAAAAAATTAATAAATTAAAATGATTTTTTAAAGCATTCTATTATTGATTGTATTTACGTTTAGACTGTATTTGATTAATACACATAATAATTTCATAACATAATATGGATACATGCTTTGGCATTATAATTAATTTACAAACAACAATCAGCACATGCTGTAAACTTAAGCAAACAGATAAGCATTCAGAACTATATAACGCGAAACATAATACATAACACCCATTGTAATTATTGAACTATTCCATTTCCATTCTTAGAAATCAATCGCAGACATACTGAAAACATATACATCGTTTGCAGGTATTATAACGAAATATAATAAATATTTAAAAAAAAATCAATATTGTTTAGAAAATCGTTGAAAAATTGAACATATGTACCTAACTTAAAAATATGAAACAATTTTGAAAACCTTTCTTATTGTCTATACATATTTTTGCATTTTATCTATATTATTTAACATTATAGTATTAAAGACACAAAATTACATACATGTACAGATGTATACATATTGTGTATATTAGGATGTATTTTAATTTCAAACATTTTTGTTTAGTAGTATCTTATAATATTTTGTTTGTTGGACTGACAAAAAAACTTGATTATGAATTAATATAAGAATGTACATTTTACATAAAAAAAAGAAGTCAATTAAATAAGTGGTACTCGAATATGGAGAATATTATATCAATGTATTATTCAATAAAATTAAAAGCATATTTCATGAGTATATATTATTTTGTTTTCAAATTCTATAAATGGACAATAACTAATGATTAATATTCTCAATGGAATAGTTCAACAATTGACCGAGAAATGTTGTTAAAATGTCATAATAAATAATTTTATAAAAATTAATTTTCAAAAAAGTACATATTTTAATGTATTGCTATTTATGCTGAGTAATTTTGAAATAAGATTATTTTTTCGTAAAGTTATACAATTTATATTAACAATTCCGGTCAATAGGTAGGTTAGGTTAAAAGGGTATATCTACTATTTATCAAAACAATGATCAGAAATTTCTATACTACAGAGAGAAAAATTACAAAAGTACTATGTTTACACTGTCATTAAGGACAGATTTTAATAAAAATATTTAAAAAATCAAAAGAAAAAAAAGATGGTCATTAAAAATGAAAAAGCGCAGTAACAAAATTAAGTAAAAACATTGTTAGTTGCCCAATAACACAGACCATGTACGGTGGCCCAAACACAGTTTTTTAAAAAAAATGTCACAATCTTAAAAACGTGTTAGCATTCAGAGGAAAGTCTCAAAAATATCATATCGACTTTAAAAAATCACCTCTGGAGCATCCCTGAAAAAATATGTTGATAAAAATATTCACAATAATAGTATTTTATTATTGCAAATACAAAAATCCAAAAGTATTATTTTTTCAGTTCTATTGCTTTTTTAAAGATACAAAAATTAAAAAACAAAAACTGGTTCATGTAAATATACATATACATAAACAATATATATGTATAAAAAATTATATTGGATATTTTAGTTTGAGAAAAATAACAATTAATGCAATATTATGCAAATAAACAAAAATAAAATTAAAATAATGGTGTGCTTATAAATTCAAATACCGTGGTGGCCTATTATATTAAACAAGGATTGGTGCGATTAAATGTTAGAAAATAATAAATCAATCTTGTGCGATTTCAAATTATTAAAGAAACACAAAAGAAAAGTGATGAAAAGTAAAACAAAAAAGCTTAAATTTTATTTACAGATTTAGCTTAATATTCAACTGCAATAATGAATAATGAACTAATTATCTAATGAAAATGTAATGATTAATACTAATAATGTACATTGTATAATAATGTACTTTCCAAATGTTAAGCTTATACATTTACGAGTATATCATATTTCATTTATGTGAAATTAAAATTATATTGTGACTAACATAGTTTCTGATTTATTTATATAATATAAAAAATAAAACTATAGGTTAGATTATGCATATAGATTATACATATTTGTTAATTTATATTCATATTGGTAAATTAATATTTTATTCATTACTGCTTATGTATTATTCTAAAAATTAAAGTTTTGCATTATCAAATATTAATATTATAAAAATTAATACACATATTTCAAAAATTTAAAAATTGAATAAATATGATTATATGACATTAAGACATTAATAAATATAATTATATATAAATATAACTTATTATACATATATACACAAAAGTGTGAGATAGATTTCTGTTTGAAATGAACTGTGAAGTATAACTTAAATATTTATTGCAGTTGAATATTGTTTTGTACTTTTCGAATTTATTTTTAAATTTATTAACAAATGATTCAAGTGTTAGATAAAAATCTAAAATTAGAATATAATATATATTCGTTCAGCTGAATACGAAACAATCGATTGCAAGTTATGCATTACCATGAATTATTATATTAATTTTAATACATTTTATTTTATTTTAAATAGAAATTAAAATGAGAATAATACAATTAATATAGCGAAATAAACGTACATTTAGTACTCATACGGTGCATATGTATCAAATTGTTTCGTTTTCGACTGTTAATTTAAGACCTTATACAATAAGTTAATTAATATTAGTTATAAAATATTTTAATGATGTGTATGGAAACTTACGTCGAGTGGTTTCTTTAAAACAATCCATCCAGATTCCGGTTGAATTTCAAAATAGTCTAAATCGTCACCTGGGTACGGAGCGCTCAATGAGTATACAATCGCTCCGTTATTATCTGCATCTTCGTCGGAAGCCGACACTCTCAAAATGTTTGTACCTATACTGGCGTCTTGTTTTACGTTTTCGACGTATTTCTAAACGTTTTTAGAAATTATTGAAATTAAACCTATCAGTAAAACGCGAACATCAGTTAATGTTAACATATAATTGTATATTACTTGACGATCGAAAAGTGGAGGGTTGTCGTTGACGTCGGTTATTTCAACGGTGAACGAGCAAACGCCTTCCAGCGATGGATCTCCTTGATCAGTAGCTTTGATAGTGACGGATACGAATTTACCATCATCACCTTCTCGGTCAAATACCTAAGGATAACACAGGTAAGGATTAGAAATAGAAAACACAAGTAATATAAATATGAACGATTGAACAAATATCTACTAAATATTTATGTAGGTACACCTAAATAAATTGTATTTTTAATATTACCTTGTTAGTCGATACTTCTCCAGTTTCTTCGTCAACAGTAAACTTTGTGCCTTTTTGATTGGGTTGTTGAACAATAGAGTATTTTACTTGTCCATTAACTCCTTTGTCTTCATCTGTTGCGTGTACCTGGTTATAAAAAACGCATTAGATATTAGCAATTCACGCTTTATTATTCCATTAAAGTTAGTGAATTGTAATAGAATCAGGTACTTATCCTCTCAAAATTTTTCAAACCAATAGTTGTATATTACTTAGTGTAAGTAACAATTATAAATTAATAAATCTAGGTCGATAATTTTAAATTATTAATACTTTATATAATAAACGGGATATTATTTATTATATTTTATGTATATTTATTGTTTCGGTAGATTCTATATTTCTTAACGTTAATTATTCAAATGAATTCTCACTATAAAGTTAAAGGTTTGACGAAAAATGATTCATTTTTTTTTTTTTCTAGTAATACTTTTTAACGAGTCATAAAGTTACCTACATGTTAATAATTCTTAAGGATGTGATTTTTTTTTCATAACTTATGCATTCTTATAGGGTTTTCCATAACAATCGGAGTGATTATTATTTTTTCGATAGTAAAAAATAAAAAAACAAATGCGAATGCAACAGATAAAATGTTGTCACTTTAACAGTTGATTTTTATAGTTTAGTCTCAAAACCACTTATGGTTGTTACAACGATTGCTAACCGATCGCACACAATTGTCAAAACGACGGTTATACCTTAAGCACCGGACTCCCGTTAGGTGCACCCTCTTCGACTTTGGGGTTGTACTTGGCGCATTCCCTGAACACCGGTTTGTTGTCGTTAACGTCGGTGATGAACACGACCACTACCGCGGTGCTGGTGTGTATGGTAGCCGCGCCGTTCATACAACAAGCGCCGTCGTCCACGGCGGTGACGTTCAGCTCGTACTTGTCCCTCTCGAGCGATATCGATTTCGAATGCAGACGTATCACACCGGTAATCTCTTCGATGACGAACTGGCCGGACGACGTGCCGCTTCCGACGAATCCGAACCTGCAGACGAACGAAACCGGTCACAGACCGGTGGTTAGGTTATTGGTCCAACGGGGGAGAACAACGATATAGTATATAGTACGTTACCTAACATTGTCGCCGTCTTTGTCGGACGCCACCACGGTGGTGACGAGCGTGTTGGGACCGGCGTTCTCGTCGACGTTCGGCGTGTACACCTGTTGCGAGAATTTCGGTTCCTCGTCGTTTTTGTTCTTCGTGTAGATGCGTATGGTGGCCGTGCCCGTTTTCGGAGGTTCACCTGTGCACAGAACCGGAAACCAAACAATTATTCGCCATCACCGTAACTATCGCGCGGATCGATTCGTTCGTAACATAACGACGATTCGCATAATACATCTCGCGCGCCGCACCTTTGTCTTTGGCTGTCAACACGAACTCGTAGTACGCGTTATTGTTGTCGGCGTCCAATTGTTTGTTGTTGTTCACGATGCCCGAAGCGTCGACCGCGAAATGATCGTCGCTCACGTTGTACTCGATCTCGGCGTTCTCCCCGGAATCCGCGTCCATCGCTTTCACCTTCAGTATTGACGTGCCCAGCGGAATGTCTTCGTCCACGTTGTGCGCTTGGTAGTCGGGAAGTTCGAACTTAGGCGCGTTGTCGTTCACGTCCGTGACGCGAATGGTGAGCTACGTACAAAAACATGTTAATCCAATGAAACGGAATATCGTACACCGTGAACGATAAACGTTAGGTTTTTATTTCTCCAAACGAGATATAAGTTCGTAACATCTATATTTATGTACACGTGTAGTAGTGCACCGTATACATACCTCGACAGATGTTGAAAATCCACCTGAATCCTCGGTAGCGGTGACGATCAGTGAATAAACATGTGGCTGTCTCAAATCTTCGAAATCCAACTCCTTCGCCAGTTTCACGATGCCAGATGTCGGTCCGATGTTAAACGTCCCGGCACCTTGTCCTTGGGCTTTGAGCGTGTAACGTATTTCTCGGTCGGCAAACGATTTGGCTTTCACCGATATGATGCTGTGAACATTTATTCAAACATTTTGTACTACACATTGCACACTGGCTACGAACAAACGCTCGACACGAGAACCGGCTGTCCACTCACTCCGAGTCTTTCCTTTGGTTCTCCGGTATTTCTGCTTCGTACGACTGCATGTAGAACTGGGGAGCCCTTTTGCCGCCGACGATCGACAGACGTTCTTCCGGCGTCGACTGGAAACGACGCTCGTCCATTCTACCGTTCTGATCTTCGGCTTTTACGTACAAAACGTATTCCATGTCTAACTGGAACGGATCCGTGCCCCGGGTCCGGACCACGCCCGACCGTTCGTCCACCTCAAACCTTCCGCCGGCTACGAGACATTATATTTTAGTCACGTTACAATATTAACAACCGCGACGTTGCGCGTAAAATGTTTCGATACATACTTCTATCCCTGACGATGAAGTAGTGTATGCTGTGATCGGTGTCCGGATCGCGTGCTTGAAGAGTGAAAATCGGCGTGTTTGGCGGTGCGTTCAGTTGAACCACGGCTTGCATTGGAAGCGGCCGATTTATGAAATAAGGAGGCTCGTCATTAACGTCTTTCACATGTATGATAACTCTTTGATTGTCCGTGTCTGGAAACAAATAAATGATTCGTAAATATAGAGAAATGAGAAAACAAACGAAATAATTATTCGACTATATTTAACTACGGTTGAAACTAATAACGAAATTTTCATACGTAAATTAATTAATCTTCAAACTATTTATTTTTGTTTTATCAAGCGATCATATTCAGTAGATAAACATCGGAGGTACATGCGTATACAATACATCAATACACTGCTACAAATAATAACTACATGAAACGCAAGTAAATCAATAAACAAAAAAAATGCAATACTTAAAAGTATACACAAGTCTACCATAGTATACGAAAAATAAAAAAATAAAATAAATCGATCCAATAATTTGATATCACAAAATTAACGAATCATGTAGCGCTGAAAATATTGTTTGAGTAGAAACCCTTAAATTGATATCCTATTTGTATATCATCATCGGTATGAAAGGTGTTATTTTGCTGCGAATCGCTGCTATACAACTATTGTGTACTCGAGATAATTATAAGTGGATAACCATGTTCCAAACACACTACCTACCACTTACATGGAATTTTTTTTACGAATTTCTGTTACACTATAAATTGTACAAGACCAATACATTATAATTATTATCCACAGCTACATCGACCCATTCTCGTATAAGGGTATTTGTTGTATGCTTGTTCGGGAAACTATTCAAATATGCTGTCTATTCGGTTTTCAAAACCGACGGAATCATTATTTCTAGTCGTGTACAAAGTTATTTAGCATTTTAGCGCAATCAGCGCCCAAGTGGGGTAATAACTTTCTATTATAATGAATTGGGTCGTGCTTTACAGAGTTGAGCGCCATCATCAAACGGTGACCAAATTTACGGAGGTATAGCGTGCCAAATAACATCAACCCATACATAATTTGAAACATACAATCTCATTTTTCATCAAATGGTTTACCAAAAAACATACTAAAAATATGTATTCAATATATAACGTTTAGTCGATAAAATACAACGTAGAGTCGTAAAAGCATATAAATTATACAATACAATATATATATATATATATATTGTATATTTACGTTCGTTTACTTATTAAAAAAACAAAAATATTTTACGACTTGAAAATAGAAATACGAAATAAAAATATTATTTTCTGTTTCGGCCCTAAGCAATAAAAAGTATGTTACTATTAGTTGTAAAAAAACAAAAAACATTAAAGTCTTTAAAAATATCACTGAAGTGCATTAATTTACGTTGATGATTATTGTTGAATAGTACGACAAGACATTTACGAAAACCGTCATTATGTTTACTTATTATTTACAGAATTCCGTGTTGTATTAAGTATTAAAAAGTTATTAATATTATTTCTAGTTATTTTGTCGGTTATAAAATTAAAAAACTACTCAGATGCAAGTGCTGAATATTTAAATACTTTGCGTTGGATAAAAACGATTATAATTAAGTTATGAACAGTGTAAAATGTTGGCCGACCCCAAATAGTTGAAAGAATAGCAAAGAAGAAGAAGAAGAAGAGTGTAAAATTAAATTAACATAGTCAGTAAATAAACATAAAAAAAGTCTTCAATTTGAGATATTTTAAATAAAAAATATATAATTAAATTAATTTTATAAAAGGATCTTAGACATTTTATTTTTATTACTATAAAATTATGAATATACTTTACAATTTTATATATTCTATTTTTTTTTTTTACTTTTAAATTTAATTAAACAGTTATAACTTTTAAGCGAAGTAATTATTTCTCGTGAATTCAAAAATACATGGATATTTTCATGCTAGGTGGTTTTATTTTCATATTGCATATTGAAGTCATGATAAAAGATTATGTAACTATTTAGTCGAATATAAATCCCTGGAAAGAAATGTATACAATGAGATCCGGTGTGTCAAAATAAAACCAATCATTTTTCTTCGAATTCATTTTTTCAAGTGTTTTTTGCTTTAATTAATTTTTGAAACAATGAAACTTTGATCGGATATACATATATTTAAATTAAATTGAAAATTGAATTGGTATTTATTAAATACCTACACAATAGAAACAATACAAAAAAATATGTGTAGGTTTATACTGAAGAATGAATGTGTATTTTTTTTTTTAGTGATCCTTGAAAGTACTTATTTAATCATATAAATATTTTCCATTAAAAAAATCTGCCAAAATTATTCTTACTATCAAATGTATTCAAAATATAAATTTTAATAAATAACAAAAACATAATATATTTAATTGAGATAAACAAAAATATAAAACGTGTATTAAGTACTTAAAATTGAGATTTTTCGAAAAATTAGTACTTTATCCTTAAATAGGTTAAATCTGTAAAAGCTGTTCGCATTTAAAATTATATTTGTAATTTTAAATAATAACTAGCATGAAAAGCTTAGAATCTAGTAAACGTTAAAAATAAATAAATGTTTTATATATATGTAATACTACTATTATTTAATGCAATTATAATAAATTTAATTCATTTTGACGTAACATCTTGCATGAATATTGAAGTATGTACCTTACTAAAGAAAACATTACTACTGTCAATCAAAGGTCATCATTGATTTCCACTGAAGAAAAATAGCTAACTCGATTTATTTAGGTACCTACGTACTTATTACGTACATAGGTCAAGGTAGATATAAAACTGAAATTATTTATAAAAACTCATTACTTAAAATAATCGATTCTTTTAAACTAGTTTATGGTCTAGGTACGCTGCAGTTCTAAAATAATACATAATTTACTTTTTTTAAGCTGTAAAACTTTTTATTTTAATTCGGTTTACAATGAAACATTAAAAATACATTAAAAATGTCCCCTTGACATTGATGAGGATTTTATATATTTTTTTATAATTATAAAAAATGATAGTTTAGTTTAGTCGATTACATTCCGGCATAATAATGAAATAAGGTCGTAGGAAAATTAAAATAATTTACAAAACTGCAGGTATCATCTAGATATAAGCTCGTTCAAAAGCGGTTTAAAAAGTATTCACCACATTTTGCGTACCCGTAAGAGCAACGTAACGAGATGAAAAGTTATTTTATGTACGCGAACATTATATTCTATTTACACGTGCTGCATAAAGCAGTAAAATAAATATTTTTAATTTTATTTGTTTGAATATTTAAAAGCGTTTCGCTAAACCTAGATTATCTAACTACCCTCTATATTCCGTCTGCGCTACGTAACTACACACAATACACACATGTAGAATATAACATATACTAATACAGTGCACTATGTACGATCTACACGTAACTACGGGTACAAAATCAACAATACACACATACGTAACTACGTTGAGAACACATAAAATAGATTTAGAGATACTCACATTTCACTCCTGAGATTAGCATGAAAAAGAAAGAGAAAAAAAAAATGGATTAGTACAATGTAAACAAATACAATGTGGTGTTTGATTATTAATGGTTAAGTGTACGACGTCCGCGAAGAATGCATTTACAATACTTCGGGCTGATGGAAAACTATTATAATAGTGCAGTGCGTGCTGCCGCCGCCGCCGTTAGATCCGCCCACGCGACGACGACAACGGACGGGAATAATAATGATCTACAGTAGATAAGAATCGAACGCGCATGTGCACGTCGTCCGAACACAATAATAGCAGTAATAATATTGTCTTCTAGCACCAACGTTTAATATATTCGTTGTGGGACAACGCGTACAACGTTCGTTAAACTTGAGATCGTCGAAAAATAATACCCACACAACAATATATTATGTTGTTTGTTCGTTCGAAACCGATAACGGCTGGTAGTTCGGTAGGCACGCACTTATGCAAACAACGAATATTTCCGTTGTCTGCAGGCAGAGAGAACAGAGAGACGGAAATTTTCACCATTATTATACGAACACACTTACTTAGGTACGTACGCGCGCAGTCGGTTTTCAACACACATTTAACATTATTATTGTTTCGACGTGACGAGCAATACCGTCCGCGGGATGCCAAGTTAGAATCGAAATACATACGTATTATACTTGTTTTTATTTATTTTTTTTTTTCCCGGTAACCGTGTACTAACCGAACGTCGAGGACAATTTTATGATGTGTATACCATCGCACACGTATAAAGTAGGAACAACGCAAATCGATACTTTACATCGCGCACACAAACCGCGTTATTATAGTTTTCTCCGACAATAACGGATCGATGAAATACTATATTTCCGGTGGCGGACGTAAAACATGGAATAAAGTTCAACCGTATCTATTTATTATAATATCGCGTATTATCCTAATTGCCTCCGCGGCGCTCGAGTGTTCGAAGGTTTAGAAACGATGTTTTTAATTAGTGTGTGACGAACAATAAGACGCGCACTATTCGAAAAGTTTTCGGATTAAATGAAACTCCACGCCATACGAACGGAATATTTTTACCGTCTTTTACGGCGTCGAGTGGGAAAACGTATCGTGCGCGTAGGGGATGTGCACAGGCACTCCGAACGGCTTAATTTATCTGATACAAATGGAATCCGATACGTTCCCGCACTTCGATATTTTCCAACAAGGAAAATTCGCTATAAAAGTTACTGGTGCGCAGTACGTGACCAAAAATAAAATAAAAACAAGCTCGGAGCTGCCGCAGTTGCTGCGAATCGTCGAGTTGCTATAACTGTTTCCGTACACGAAAAAACGAAATAGGATTTGAAATTGTTATAAATTTGTTTTTCCTTTTATTTGAGTAGCGCAGGTATGTATATCTATAGACGTCAAAAAACTTTATACGGTATGCCGAGTAAAATACAAAACATTATTATTGAAAACTAATGAAATTATTTTTTAAATTGCAATAAAAAAAAAATCTCTATTCAAGTATAAATAAATCATAACCAGCTCGTTTGGATTTCTGCGAACGCGACCAATTTGTTTAAACACACACACACACACACACACACAAACACACGCGTATATACTGTGTATGTGTACATTCGTATACGGAATATTCGTCATGATGAAATATATAATAATATGTTAATGTTTTCATAATGATTACGTGAAATTTCGCGCAGAATCGTATAATTTTGTTTATTATAATCATAATGCACATATAATTTGGTTAAGCCAATCACGTTTTTAGATACATTGTATCCATCATTCCCAATTGTGTTTCTCAAAATTAAATTAAATTTTGTTATTTTAATTTTGAATAATCGTTGATCATTATAATGATATGTTGTTCGCGCTCGATACTCGTTTCGTAAAAACTACGATTCGATAAGCATTACAATTATAAATCACTTTAATGTTAAACTTTTAACTTCTGTATATTCCAATTGATGTTTTACTCATAAAAATAATCATTAGTATAATAGTGCAATAATAATTCTCGTCGATGTAACTTTTTTATTTTCTACGGATAATATTTTAAAATGTGTTATTTTCATTGCAGTATCTGATGTGTAACTATAACTGACTTATAACCGTACAACTGTTTATGTGATTTACATGAAATGTGTAAGTTCTGTGAAACGCATTTCGCTGATCATGTTCATACTACGACGGCACACCTTAAAAATCCTTACGATAGTAAAAAGTTTATCGGACAATCAAATAGAACCATCATTTATAAGGTAAATTGATTGCTCAACGAGATAGCAATCGATATTGAAATGGTTACAGTGCAATACTAAAAATATATACGATATTATAATAACTATGGTTCAGATGTTTATGTACTTAAAATTACTGTAATATGTATGTATTTTTGCTTTAAAAAATATATCAAATATGCGGAATAAAATTTATTTTAGCTTTAGGATTAGAAAATAAATTATAATTTATAAATATTTGATTTTAATTACTCGTTATTTTATATTTTTTATTTTTAAAATATATACTAATTTACAAATGAGCGTTGCGCTGTGGATACAATAAATATTTTAATACGATCAAATATAAATCTAAAAATAATATAAACTAAGACAATTATACAGATCAATCATTTATAATTTATATACTCCTTAAATTCAATATTATTTTTAAAAATTTCGAAAATTGATTGAAATATGTATTCATATTCTTAAAATTCCAAAAATATGCATTTCAAATATAAAATCATAAATAATCAAATATGCAACATAAAAATACTATTATTTGATTCAGAAGAACTTGAATCAAATTTGTTTTCAGGTCCACATTAAATTAGATCAATAGAAAAATCTGCAATTTCATAAACGATTCCTAGTAATAACCATTAACAATTGATTCAAATTTTTGTATTTTAATTATTTGTACTATTTTCGTCATCAGTTTAAGTTATTTTGTTTAACTTAGTAGATAATCATTTAGCTGGTCATAGTTGCGGTATCAAATTTTAAAATACGAGCATTTCATCGTTTTAGTCGCTATGTAGGAATGAATCAATATAAATAATATGTGTGATAAAGTATATTTATTTTTTTTTTTTAATGGATTAATCTCTACAGATATGTTCATTGGTACATTTTATCTATTCATGTAACTACGAGTAAGTTTTAATTAAGTAGATAGTTTTTAATTCGTTAAGTGAAATATTACTTTATGGCTTATGAGAATAATATATAAGTATGCAAAAGAAAAAGAGATTGGATTAGTTTCGGGTATACGTTTTTTTTATAAATATATATTCAATCATAAACTAGAAATATACGTTTCACTTATGTAAAATATATTATACAAAAATACGTCATCCGTCTTTATTTTAAACAATTTTTGTATGGTATGCTTTTAGGTGTACATTTCGTCTTGTTAGAGTTAAAAAATATCGAATTCATGATGAATCGCCCCCTCCGGTATAATGTTTTGTGAGATAATTTACAAGGTTTCGCCTTATGATTTCTTAGACATACATCATTCAAACTGTCGACAATTATTTATTTTCATGCATTATAAAGAGTAAAGTTATAATTGTAACTCTTGAAATAATTTAATTTTGTAGTTAAACACATACATCACCAGATAATCTATTTAACTTACTTCATTCATTTCCTTAGAAATTACATTTTTTATTTTTCAAAAGATTGCGTTTTTAATTTATTTTAAGTTGAAAGTCTGAAACTGTTTATTAGGTTTTGTTTTATCTTAGTAAGCAACCCTTAAATTGAGTTTCAAACTCTGATGTAAAATAATAATTGTTTAAAGATCTTAACATATACATGTCAAATTTCAGACGCGTATAGTTTATACTAATTATAAATGTTTAAAGTTTTTGATAAGAGAAATGGAGTGACAGGGAAGTCATATTTTATTCATTATTTGTATTGCACTACTATTCGAATCCTCTAAAAATTGAACACTTATAAATAACAAACTATTCGCTTAATATTTAATAATCATTTTACTTTAGAATTTGAACCAAAATTGGGGGTTGTAATTATGAAAAATTAATACCATACAATAATTACGTAAAAATATCAAACCGTTGGTTTTGTATTTTATAAAAATACTGTAGGTATATGCACTTGAAACTGTAAAAACATTCATTTAATAGACTTAACACAGAAAATTAATTGTTTCTTTATTATATTTAAGACGTAACTATTTATACATGATGATTTGTGTATAACACAGTACACTTTGATAAGTATTAATTTTTTAAAGTTCGATTAAATATGAAATAAAAATGAATCGAAAATAATGTGAAATAAGTGCAAACATTCCACATCGATTTCATCATCGTTAGACGATTCGTTTTGTACAAATTAATAATGAATAAAATAATATGATTATAATAGTAATAATTAGTATTTAATCACTTTTCTTGGAAATTCTAATATATTTAAAGTAGAAAAACAAAAAAATAAAACGTCTATGATTTATTCCATACTTTATGTTTCTTCTAGCTCACTTAACCGAAGTAAAAATATAGTATAATAAATGATTATGATATATACGTAGGTGAATCTCTAGGCTAGGTTTTATTACATACGTGTTACCTATGTTCTATTTATTAAACTGACCTAAAGCAATCGGAGCGACATTGATGATTGCTAATGCCGTGAGTAGGTATAAATATCTTATTTATAAACTAATCAAATACATTATAATATCGAATAGGGCTTTTAAAAATACATTGTATAGATTATAGATATTTTAATGTATTTTTGTATATTAAAGCGGATGTGGGCGTGTAGTGTATATGTGTGTGTTTGTGCGTGTATGTGACATCTAACATTATCCTTGAGTTATACATACCAAATACATAAAATACCTAAAAAATACCACACCACATTGCTATACATAAGTGCCATGTGTACGTGGCGCCTGTTTTAGATTAAGATATTATATTTGTAAGCGTATAAGAATACGAGTACACTACTGGTTTTAATCAATTTTGTTTT